CTGTTATATCACCAACTTTTTTAATAAAAAACAAACAGACACTTTAATCAGTGGAGACTAAAATTAATAAATCAACAAATATTTTTCCAGTTTTATTGTCTATATTGTTACGTATCCGTTCGTTAGTTAATTTTCCGTAAAAATTCTTTCCGAAGAAACTTTAGCGACACAAGTCCTTTCTTAAATAAAACTGGTTTATTCTTTCTGAATACAACTTTGCGATACACTTAATTTCAACAGTCGCGCTATAACAAACGCTATAATTCACAAGGAACGACTCACGTGCTAGACTCAATTGTCAGTCTCTCTCTCTGCAGTTCAATTACATTACATTGTTCCCGTCGCTTCTTGGCCGGTCTTATATATACAAGACTACCCCATATCTAATAGTCTCCCGACGCTTCATGAACGTTCTAAAAGCGCGTGGCGTGTTACTAGGGTCACGTGACCTCCGCTGTCGTTACAATATATTTCATTTTATACTTCCAATACATAGACTAACAACAATATTAGGTTATACTTTTGTTGCTAAGCAACATGACATAAAAGCCATTGTTAGAACGTAGTGTTACCAAAAACGCACTGTCTTTTCTATACATTAAAAGTTGTTAATGTAACTTATTTTTACCAGTAATTGTTCTGTGAATGTGCCACAAGTTCAGTTCAAGAATGATCTTAATTTTGATTGGCTCTCAAAGGAATTTACCAATGTTTGACTGCCTCAACTGCACTTTTCTGCCTCTTTGTAGGTGAAGCTTGATTTCGCAAAATATATATATTTCAGTTAGCTATAAAATTTGAGGTTAGGGTATACTATGAGGTGGGTTTGATAGTACTTGCCCCGTCACTTTGGACGGGTTATACGCTAGTTTATTATATTTAATAAACACGGGTGAAAATATGAGACATTTCCACTTGTAGTTTCCTTCAGATTTTTTATTAAAATTATGGTAACCCAAAGCTTTTGCCATTTGAATCTTATCTCTCAGTTTTAAGAAAAAGAGTGGACAACATCTCCGACCCGTAGGGCACAACAACTGTATTTATACACCAACATTTACCAAAACTAGAAGAACAGACAGACACACACACAAACATATTTTATTATACGTAAAGAACTGAAGTGCCTTGGTTGATAACTGATCACGTGACCTAGTTTCGTGCTCTTTATTTGATATCTTCGAGAAGTAATTCTTGTTATATTCGTCAGCAGCCGACTTTAAATTGATTCGACATATACCGCACATTAATTCCTCTATGGCTTTGGGGGATAGAAAGGTTGTAAATCCATAGGTTTTTCATCAGCTTGAACTTCTTTCTCAATTTAGAAACTTGTTTCCACATGAAAATTCAATCAAGGCAACTTGTGCAAAAAGTTTAACATTAATAGCAGGAACAGCGTTTAAAATGCATAATAAAAACTTTTTTAATATTTTTTAAATTCACAATAAAAAGTTTATCTCGACAACGGCC